GGGGGGGAATGCTGCTGCGGCGGGGGAACGAGGGGAGATATCCGCGCCCGGGTGAATATCCCCGGGGGGAATGCCGCACCGGGAAGACACGGCGGCCAGGATGGCGGGCTCACGCCACCGAGGGGACCGAGGGCGGGGGCCTCACCACTGCATGCGGCTGTTTACGCCCGGGGGGTATGGGTGGGGGTGTGGGCGCGCGCTCGGCGCCCCGACCGGGGCACACATACCTGGCCACCGCCAGCCCCAATGCGCCGGCTGCCCCCTGGGCCCGGGTGCGGCTGCGTGCGATCTGGCCGATCACGGTCGGGAGGGGGACCAGGCCGTTTTCCCCCCCCCCCGCCCCCCCTCTTCCCGCCCGAGGCCCGGCGGTCGCTGCTTAGCCACCGCCCGCGTGAGTTGGACCGGCGACGCGACCAGCCGGACGAGAAGGCCGGGAGGGAGAGGCAGGCCGCGAGGCAGGCAGGCGCCAAAGGCAGAGCCTTCCTGTGCACACCACCAAGCGGTCACTCGCGGGTGGTGGTGCGTCCGGGGCGCGAGTAATGCCGGCACGCAATATGCGAGCCGTGGACACACAATCGAGTACGGACGCTTTCTCGGAAGGCGGGCCCCTGTGCGAGCGCGCGGGCACGCTCCGCCCCCCCCCCCCTCCCCCCCCCCGGAGGGGGAGATCAACTAGCTGGCCGCACGCGCGAACACACGCCCCGGGGGCGCTCACGGTCGCCACCGGCTGTCGGGGGCGGTCTGTGGCTGCTGGGGGTAGCGGCGGCCGGGAATGCCCACAAATGTCCCCTGCTTCGGTCCCGGCGCGGGTGGACAGCCGGGACGCTTCTGACGTCCCCACCCCTGCGCGGCTGTTTCACATCCCGGCTTCGGCCCGGGCGTGCCGGGCGAACTCGGGAGAAGCCCGGGCATTTTTCCTCCCTGCCCCGCGCTGCCGGTCACCACCCTCGGGGGCCCCTGAGGGCGGAGGACGCCCAGCGCGCCGGGCGGGCACACGGTTGTCCCCACCCACGCCGTGCACGCCCGCCCCGCCCCCCCCCCCCTCCCCAGGGCCTGCTGCCAGGACCGTGAGCGAGAGAGGGACAGCGGGCGTCACCCGCGGCGGGACGGTGACTGGGGGTCCCTTGCGGTCGGTCTCTCCGTGGGGGGTGGTGGAGGGGGGCAGGGCGTTTAGGTCGCCCCGGAGCGCCGAGCCGCCGGACCGCGGTCCAGCTCCCCGGGGCCCGGCCCAAGGCCCCCGCCTCGACCGCAGGGGGCCGACCGGGCGCTCCGCCCCCACCGCACCGAGCGCCTGGGCCGGCCCCGAGCGCCGAGGGGCAGCGGAACCTGCCTGCTCGGGATTAGTGTACCCTTCCCCCCTGCCCCCGGACGGGGGGGCGATGGCAGGTGTTCCTCTTGCTCCCCCGGGCATCCGACCGGCCCGCGCGGCGCGTTCTGGCCTTGTGTTTTTTTCCCGGCCAGCGGGATGGGCCTCGGGGCCGGACGAGGTGTCTCCGTGAGCGGCGATCCGCGCCCGCGAGAGCGATCCCCCCTCCCTCCCCCGGGGGCGCGTCCCAACGGGGCGCGGTGGGCGTCTCTGCCGCACCGACAAAAGGCGGGCAGGGCCCGTGCCGAAGTTTGGTTCAGGGCCCGGGGAAACGCGATCCGAATTCCCTCCATGCCCCCCCCCCTTGGGGGGCGGGGGCGGGGGCCGCGGGCTACCACTGGCCTGTGCCCTCCCGGGGGCGTACACACCCGCGGACGGGCGGAGTATGTGAGTATGTGAGTATGTGCGTGCGCGCGAGCGATCCTGCGACTTCGTGCGCATGCGCCCCCCCCCCCCCGGTCCTGGGGTTAATACCCCTTGCAGACCCGCGCGCCGTCCCCCTCCGTCTCCCCCAGGCACGCTGAGACATTCCGCAGAGGGACGGGCCGGCTCACGGCCAGGCGCCAGGCGGGTGTGTGTGCCGCGCATGCGCTTGGGCCCCTGGCAAGCCCCTTCGCCTGGCCGGGCGCACACCAGGAACCGGCGGGGAGAAAAGCCGCGCTCGTACGGACACGCGTCCCCGGTCGGCCGGCAATCTACCTCCCCACACCGCCGCCGCCGTCCCCCTTTTGCCGTGTCAGCCCTTCACCTGCCTCCGGCTCCCGGTCTCCTCTCGCCCCCCGCCCCCTCTCGGCCCCTTTTTGCTTGCCCGCCTGCCTGCCTGCCTGCTTCCCCCTGCGCCCCAACCCCCCGCCCCTCCCCCGCCCCTGGACCACCTCCTCCCTGAGCCGGCGCCGCGTACACACCATGCAGCTGGCCTCGAACCTCAGCCCGCACTCGTCCGGCGCGCCGGCCACGACCGGGCACAAGGCCTCCTTCTCGGCGCCGGCGCCGGCCGGCCCACGGGCGCCGCCGACCCCTCCGGCCCGGTCCACGGCCGGGTCGCCGGCCACCTCCCCCGGGGGGTGGTCCTGCCGCAGCACCCGGCCATCCGCCGGTCGATCGCCGACCTGTGCGGGGGGTTTGCCCCCTCGGAGCACTTTGCCCTGGAACTCCCCTCCGGCCATGGGGGCGGATCGACTGCCATCCCGGAAACCGTGGCCGATGCCCTGCCGGAGGGCTGCCCGACGGTGGAGCAGCTGGCCCAGCAGCCGGACAATGACATCCGCTTTTACCGGGAGCACTTCCTGGACCGTGGTGCGTCCTCCCGGCCTCCCTCCTCCCTTTGCCACCTTTCGCACCGGGCATGCGTGTGCTCCGTGTGCTCCGTGTGCTCCGTGTGCTTGGATGCCGCGCGGCGACAGCGGCGGCATGGTTCCTCCCCCTGCTCCCCCTGCGCCGAGGGCAGCGCGTGCATGCCGCGCAGGGCGAGCGACCATGCGAAGAAGAAACTGACCGAAACACACGGTGCCCCCGCACCCCCTCCCGCCGCCGCCGCCCGCCAGACCACATGAACTTCCTCGCGCTCGAAACCCCCAGCGGCCCGGTGGCCGTGTCGATCGTCCTGGCGCCAGATGGCACGGCCGCCTCTCGCGGGCCGCACTACCTGTGTCTGGTGCGGACCGGGCGCGGGTCGCAGCAGACCACGCGCGGGGTGGCCCAGATCCCGGTGCCCTTCTTCCGGCGGCTGTTCGGCCTCGGGCCCTCGACGGATGCCCTGCTCCGGGGGCTGGTGTCGACGCCGCTGCCGGCCGGGGCCCTGCGCCTGAACCGGCATCCGCAGCTCCCCCGGGCACTGATCAGCATGGAGGAGCGCCAGGTGATCCACAACTACAAGTTTGGCCTGCTGTATGCCCGCGCCGGGCAGGACACCGAGGCCGAGCTGCTGGCCAATGCCGACCCGGAATACCACACCCCCACGACCCCCGGGGCGCCGGCCCCGCTGCCGGTGTCCGAGGCGTATCGGCAATTCCTGGCCTGGCTCGGCGACCGGGTCACCCTCAAGGGCTGGACCGGCTACCGGGGCGGCCTGGACGTGGTGGACAATTTGACCGGCCGCGAGTCGGTATACGCCCTGTGGCAGGGGTACGACATCATGTTCCATGTGGCCACGATGCTGCCGCTGATCGACCAGGCCACCGGGGCCGGGGACCAGGCCGCCATCGCCGGGGGGTATGTCCAGCAGCTGGAGCGCAAGCGCCACATCGGCAATGACATCGTGGTCATCGTCTTCCAGGATGCGGACACCCTGCCCGGGGCGCTGCCCTTCAATCTGGACAGCGTGGACTCCAAGCAGAACCATGTGTTTGTCAGTGTGACGCCGGTGCCCCGGAACCCGAACGACCCGCCCGGCACGCCGGACTACTACCGGGTGACGCTGGCCCGGAAGTCCGGCGTCCCGGGCTTCGGGCCGCCGCTGCCGATCAAGGTGTCCCGCGATGCGGATGGTCGGAACTGGTTCCTGTACAAGCGTGCGTGCCGGACACCCTGGCCTCCTCCTTTCCCTTCTTCTTCTTTTATCCTCCCGCCGCCCGTACCTCTCTGCGATTTGCGCATGCGGAGGGGAGGGGGGGGGGGGCGGCTGATGTGATGTGCAATGCGCCCGGGCTTTCTCCCCTACCAGGGAGCCTCCTGTCCTTTCTCACCCTCGCCATTCGTGTGTGTCCCCCCACACCCCGCCTTGCCGTGCCGTGCCGTGCCACAACAGTCATCAGCGCCGAGCGTGCCTCCTACAAGGCGCCGAGCTTCGCGCCGAAGCTGGCCCGCACTCGGCAGGTCCTGCTTCATGACGTGGTCAAGACGCATATGTAAGGCGTGCGCCTGGCCCTCGCGCGCCCGCTGCCTTCCTCCTCCTCCTTTTCCCCTTCACGATGTCCTTGAGAGCCGCCATGTTTGCTGCTGCGCACCCGTATGCCCCTCGCCTCCATTAATGTTCCTTGCCTTTCCCCTCACAATCAGTGACCTGTGAGCGCGAGAAAGATTCGACCTGAGGTCGAGAAATGTACTACCTTTCAAAGCATGGGCGGCCTCCTGGGGAGCGAAAGAGGGGCAGAAGGGGGGGGGGGGGGGGAAGCCGGCAGAGGGGGCACATAAAAAAACCGAGAGACAAAGAAAGAGAGAGGGCGGGGGGGGGAGAGGGAGAGACGCACACACAGCAGACACCGGACCGGCACGTCGAACCCGGTGGGTCGTACGCACAACAGAGCCGGGAGATCGCGCAGCCCTGCCGGCGGCTGGCGGAGTCGATCGGACGACTTGGTCATGTGGGGGCGTGATATTGGCCGGCGTGACCCGGGGCCGGTAACAAACGATGCCGGCGCCCCTGGCGGAGCGGCTGGAGAGGCTGCGAAAAAAAAGGGGAGAAAAACCGTAAGCGGTGAGACGCACCCGGGTGCGAACCGGGCAGGCGGCTTGCCCGGCGGCGGACACCTTCGTCGCCACGTTCACGCGCACGCGAGCCCCTCCCCCCGGGCAGGGGGGGTCGGTTGTCAGCAAGAGTGACACCCTACTCCGAGCGGTCGGCTCAGGCACCGGCGGGGGGGGAGAGAGCAAGGGCTACCAACAGTGGGAGGCACGCCGACGAAGGCCGAGGGGCGGGGGGGACGGGTTGGGGCAATTAGGAAACCAGCCGCCAGTGGAAGACGACGAATTAGGTTGCCCTGTGTGTGGTGCTCGCGCGCGCGCATGTGCGTGTGTTACCGGGCCCGGGAAGAGGCCCCCGTCGGGGAGGGACGAGCCATCGGAGGCGCCGGTTCCCGGGCTTCACGCATGCGGTGCCAATAATCGGCCATTAATATTCCATCGTGGGGAGGTCTCCCTAGCAGGAGGGGGGGTGTATGTTGCTTTCTGCCCCCGGCAGTCCCCTCGCTTGTGCGTAGGGCGCCCTTCCTCGGCCGGTGAGTGCGTTGCTCGCCCGGGAAAAATATCCAGCGACGTGGCGGGGGGGGGGGGTAGGCACAGGCGCCGCCAGGCGGGATGCCACTCTCTGGGCGAGGGCCGAGGGGCGGCCAGCCGGCCCCCGGGGATTAGGGCTTATGTTCAATTGTCCACATGAACTTTTGGCGGATCACTCGGGCACCAGTGACCACCCACCCGTTGCCCACAATGTTCGGTCGCCGGTGCGGCGGCGGCGCGCCCGGGGCCGGCGCAGGGGGCGAGGCCGGCCGGCTGTGTGCCATTTTCTCTGGGTGTGTGCGCGAGGGCGCGGCTCGGCCCGGTCTCGGGGGCCCGGCGACCCGGAGAGAGGGCGACGGCGACGAATGCGGAGTGTGCCTGCTGCCGCTGATGTGTCCCCTGCGTTCCGGGGCTGGGGCCTCCTGTGCCGGTTCGCGCTGGCGCCGGTCCCCCGCGGCACCGACGAGTCCGGCAGAGCGACATGTTCCCCTGCAGTTGTGGGTCGAGGGAGGGGCCGCAGACAGGGGGCGGGGCGATGTCCGCGTTCCTCGCGGATGCGTGCGCCCAGGGCCGATATGTAGCCTCCCCCCTGCTGGGAGAGTCTCGCAGGACCAAAGGGAGGTGTGTGAGCCCTGCTTCGGGGGGGGGGGGGGGGGGGGGGCGGGGGCCGGCTGAGAGCGAGGCAGGGTTTGTGGTGCGATGTGCTTCTCTCTCTCTCTCTCTCTCTCTCGAGTGCCGCGCCAGGATAACGCGTGGGCCTGTGACGCGGCGCCCGTGTGTGTGTTTGTGTTTGTGAGGGGGGCGGGAGGGGGGCACCACGGTGCCGGTGCCACCGCCGCCGGGGGGGGGGGGACCACCCCCGCTCGGGGTTAGTCACCGCAGC